GCTCTCATATTTTAGAAGAATTCTTTCGCATTAGTGGGGGAATGTTGATAATGCTCATTATCCCACTAGTATTGGATAGTGGTTATCCCACTAGTATTGGATAGTGGTTATCCCACTAGTATTGGATGATGGTTATCCCACTAGTATTGAATGATGGTTATCTCACTAGTATTGGATAGTGGTTATCCCACTAGTATTGAATGATGGTTATCCTACTATGTTTAATAGAAATAAAATATGTTTTGGAAATGGTAATTTTGCCCTCACCATTTAGCCTATAAATAGTGGGTAATTTCATTCATTTTGAGATATCCCAAGCAAAACATTTGCTTTGAAATACTCCTCTTTTTTTAGTGTTGTTTGAGTTGAGAGAAGAGCAATACCACCAAGTTCACTCCAGTTGTAACACCCCAACCCGTACCCGACCCGAATACGAGTCTGAGATGTCACATTGACTTTTCAAACCTTGACACTTAAAGAAAAACCCCGGGGAATTTAAACCTTGTTTAAAACAAAATACTTTAATTTACATAAAAGAGACCACAAAATACAAACTTGATCAGAGTACTCATAATTAACGACTTATTACATGCCAACACTCTATACACAACAAAATATATACTTTGTCGATTACTTCTGATATGATCTTCTAGTAATAATATTGTCCTTGCTACTTCTATTCTTGCTCTTCACGTTTCTTGGTACCTACGTGTAAATCACTTACACGCTAAGTCATAGACTTAGTGAGGCAATAAATAAACATGTAACAATAGATTCATGAATATGCATTCTTACTATTTGATCATGATATTTCAATATGCATGGATATATTTCCTATGACATATATAATCAAGTCATGCACACATGAATCTTAACTTTTTGCCTCACTTTCACTTTAATTTATATTTTAATTGCTGTTGTTGTTGCCCATGTATATTATTGAGAATAGAGGTATGTGAGTACATTGAGGTTGTGCACTAATGTTGTCACCACAGCTCGTATAAATTCCCTCATGGGGCACCAAACATTTGTTCAGTATTCGTCCCGAATGACTGCTATATATGTCCCGTAGGACCACTACATCCCGAAGGACTACAATACCCTCGACTCTTGGCATGTCAACTATACCTATAGCTCTCGTATCATATACTATGGGCATTTATTATGAATATATTTCTCATCACTTATTCTTTCTCTTCTGTCACATACCACATGTATGTGTAACCATATATTTCATATCATATCACATATTGCATATTCATATGTCATTTCATATATTCACATAGCTTATTTCATTTCACATTGGTCATATCTCATAGCATATATCACATATGCTTATAATCATGTATATCATATCATATATCTTATGTTTCATGCTCTTATGTTTATGCATATCATGTATTCATGTACATATAAGAGTCACATATCAAATAACATTTTAGGAGTCACTTCTTACCGTAATAACTCCATCATTGGCTCATCGCAAGCCAATGTTCGTTCAATAATATAAGTACAATTAAAATTGCACTCACCTTAGCCTTGTTTGATTTGAATCAATTCTAATCCTTTGATTATTCCAGAACTTGTTTAGGCTCAATATCTACATAAATATAACATTTCAAAATAACTATCAGAAGCCTAAACTTTAAACTTGATGTTAATAACTTAAGTCGGTTTAATGAATCAAATTCCATTTTTTCATTTAGGGGGAATCGATACCCCCCTAGGGGGAATCTGTTCCCCCTGCATATACTGGAATTTTCGTCCAAGAGGGGAATCGATTCCCTTTATAGGGTATCAGTTCCCTCTACCCAGAAATTGTATTTTAACCCCGAAAATCATCAATTCTTCACTTAATTCTTCTATTTTAAACCCCTATCATGTCATTAAACTCAACTACCATTACTTAAACCAACTTATATCCATGAAAATCATCTATAACTTCAAAATCCTATTCTTCATATGTAATTCAAGAATCATACTCAAATTTCAATATGTTCTAAATACCATTCTAACACTTCATATTCCTTAATTAGCATGATGACAAGTCAAATTTAACTTCAAATTCAACTTATCAACTCTTTTTCATGATTTCATATAAAAACTCGTTTTCTTAAATCTCTTATAACTTCTTCATCTTTTGATTATAAGACAACTTAAGCTTTCCTTAAGCTTAGTTATCATTTAATGATCAAAACCTAACCTTTAATTTAACAAATAACTAACAAATCAGAAAACCCTTACCTTTACCTAGCTTCCACGGTTGGGAGAAGAAGAAAGGAAGAAGAAAGAGTTTTCAGATAACTCTTTCCCCCACCCCCACGTGATTCATTCATATTATTGGGGGAAAATATCTTTCATGCTAAATGACCATTTTGCCATTTAATTCCTTTGATAATTACTAATAACTTTCAGGAAACATTTCCGAACAAATCATTGGACTATACAAATATCATACTTAAATCACTAAACTCTGAAGTTTTATGATTTAGTCACTAACCCGTATTTTGGGACGTTACACTAGTTTTCGAGTGTACGAATTCTTGGAGAGCCGTGTTAACCTCAGGGGAACGATTCGTCTACTGCAGCGATTACACACATCGGGGTGAATTCGTTTCTAAGGCAGTAGTTTTACCACGACACGTTTATGAATCTGTTTCTTTTAAATTACTATTTATCTTTATTGCCAGTGCTAACGGTGTGATTTTGCAGTCCATATTTCCAACAAACGACACTCAAAGGAATTAAGATTTCTTTCATTTTGTAAATCAGAGTAAAGGTTAATGGGTTACCTGATGCCATGGCCCGGTCTACAGCTGATACGTGTTACGGTGACTTGAGAATTCCGTTGTCCAATTGAGATGCAGTCATCACCTGTACCTATAAGCGATTTCGAAATGTCGATACCGGAGCTCTGCTGAATGTGGATACCATCAGTGTTGGGACTATTTGCTTATGCAGAAATCTTAATCTCAGTGCCCTTAAACCGTTTGCATTCAACAAGAGCCATATGGAAGAACTTGCTGATTACTGATGTTATGCCTCTTACAATAGTCCGATCCATCACCAGAAACTTCACATTCTGTTCGAAACAAATATTTTCGTCATCGATTTGGATCCTTATTCTTAGCCGCACAATAGAAAACCATGGACAATTTTCAAATACGTACGAGCTAATGAAACGTACAGTTAGAAGAAGCTTGCAGTTAATGTCGTTGGAGCAGCTATTGTAAGGCTAAGCTTTGGCACCTTGACCATCAAAGGTCCCTCATCTGGTCAAGGTTAGCCTTTCGACCGATCGAAATCCGACCTAACTGGCACCATCTCCAAATCTAGACAAGTTTGTCGTCACCTTGAGATAACCCTGAAAGCTTCTTTCTCGTTCATGGTCAAAGTACTTATGTGTGAAAAATGCAGAACAAGATGAAGAAAATACCTTCAGATGGACTGTTATTTTAAGATACATTTATGCAGGGGCCTGCAAATTCAACTGGACCAACTAAATACGTCCCTTTCGGAATCACAATGTGTACCTCAACAGTAGCCTGACATGCATTTTCCCATGTTGATATGAAGGCCTGCCAACAAGTTAAACAAAATTATATGCAGCTGTTTAATTAATGGAGGGAGAAAAAGAAAAGAGAAGGAAACAAAACTTTGCTGTCGTCGGTGAGCCCATCGGCTCGAGCACCGAATGTGTTGACATTAAAGAAATGAGAGCTCCTTCCTCCTGCAGAAACGCCATTGAAGCAAACGGAGGAAACCATCAAGAAGAGCAAGTTCATGGGAATGTCAAGGCTCATGTTCCACATCCTTTGCTGAGTGAATGGTGTTAACTGAGTTGGTTCGAGATCACCATAACTGATGTTTACTCCCCCCCAACACTTTTGAAGTTATTAACCATGTTTTTGATCATTTCCAATACATAAACTGGAATTTGCTTTTAACTCCCAATTAACTCTTTTTTGGCCGAATTTCGTCGGATACTTCTAGTACACAATCGTTTGACTTCGAATCTGCTATAATTAGAAGTTAAGATGGTTGATTTTTCTGGCATAATGATAAAAAAAATTCTAACGTTTAGGTAAATAATATTTTCGTCTTTATTTTTTAAAGTATTTTGACTTCATTTTGATGTAAAGATGTTTATTCGTGAATGAAAATCGTTAGTTAATAAATAATTAATACTCTAAAATATAAGTTTTTTTGTCCTAAAATAAAATATTGGACAAAAATACTCTAGGAAAAAAATTAAGATTTACTAACTATTTAGTCAAATATTTCGGACTTTTTAGCCCGAAAATGAAATGGTATAGGTCAAAATACTAAATCATATAGACTAAAATGTTTATTTAACTAAACGTTAAAGGCATTTTTTGAACGTATACTTTTTTTAATTAATCATTGGTATCTGATCTATCTATCGTTTAATACAAATTAGATTTTATAAATACTTATTATGAGATTACTCTTTTAACCTAATTGGCTTCACATTTTCGATTCACATATAATATATTAGAATAAAAGACAAAAGTAATTGGAAAATTAGAAAATTGCCTTCAACAAAAGTGGAGAAATATATTTTGGGGCGATCAAACTGAAATTAGTATAACAATAAAATTTAATATTCAATATATTTTTTAATTGAATTTTATTTATTTATTTATTTAAATTTGGTTTTTAATATTATTATTTTTAGTCAAATTATTTTGATTTGAATGAAAATATGATTGAATCATTTAATACTTCATAAATTAATTTGGCAATTTGCATGACAGTTCACGCATAATTTATTGTTGATATAATAATATTTTATTGTGTATGTGATAACTTTGTCTTAAAATTTATATATTTTTTATAGTTTAAAAATTATTTATTAATATGGATACAATAATATTTAGTAATGACACGCATCCGCCGGCTGGGCTGCTAGCCTTAGACAAATCAAAATAGCCTCCCAAGAATTAGTCATTTGTCCAAATTTAGAAACAAAGGCTTTTTCTCTGATTGCTTCTCTTTCACGCATTTCAAGTTCTGATGCCTTCCTGTTTCAACCAACATCCCGGTCAGATTCCACAGATCTGGAAGTGAAAACCGATCGCCACTGATGTCAGCTCCCCAGACGCTCGGCGGTCCTTCCCGGTGCGGCCGCGTTCTGGGCCCATCTCTCGACAAGATCATCAAAAACGCCTCTTGGCGGAAACACTCTCACATCGTTTCCTCATGCAAATCCGCCCTCGAAAAGCTCGAGACCCTCTCTGATAGGGCCTTACCCGATCCCACTTCTCCTCTACTCGGCCTTTCCGTTTCCGATGCCGAATTTTCCCTCAATCCTATCATTCTCACTCTCAACTCCAATCACGCCAAACTCGCCGACCCCGCCCTCGAATGCGTCTTCAAGTTATTCTGTCTTGGCTACGTTCGCGGCGAGATTGACAGCAATCTCCCCAATTCGATCCTCTTCAAAATTGTCGAAAGTGTTTGCAAAGTCGATGGCATTGGCGACGAATCGATAGAGCTTGCTATGCTCCGAGTTTTGCTGTCCGCCGTTGGATGCCCTTGCGTTTTGGTCCGTGGCGATTGCTTGCTTCTCGTCTTTAAAACTTGCTATAATGTGTATTTAAGTGGTTTAAACGGAACCAATCAGATCTGTGCTAAGTCCGTTCTAGCTCAGATTGTGCTCATTGTGTTCACCCGGGCAGAAGAGGATTCCATGGATGTTTCTATCAAAATAGTTCCGGTTAGTGAGCTTATAGAGTTTACTGATAAGAATTTAAACGAAGGGGGTTCAATTTTTTATTGTCAGAATCTTATTAGCGAGGTTGTGACTACTAGTGAAGGGGTTCCGGATTTGAAGTTTTCACAGCCCAGTATGAGTCCGGAATTGCAGAATGGTGAGTCGAATGGGGAGAAGGAAGAAGTTGGCGAGGAAGAGGTGAAGGAAGGGATGGAATCGAGTTCCATTGGCAATATTAGTAAAATTAGGGAGGATGGATTTCATGTTTTTAAAAATTTGTGTAAGTTATCCATGAAGTTTTCTTCACAGGGAAATCCTGACGATGAGATCCTTTTAAGAGGGAAAACAGTGTCTTTGGAACTCCTCAAGGTCATTATGGATAATGGGGGTTCAGTTTGGCTCACAAATGAGAGGCAAGTCATCATACTATGCTCACGTATGATTCTGATCTTTTATTTCCTTGAAATATCGACTTATTATCTTATATAATTAGTTGTTATGGTTGTTGCATTTAGTTTGGGCTTTATCTTTGGTAGTTATTATCAGATCTTTTTCTAATGGATATTGGCATACTTAGTACTATGATATGATTGTTGTGTTAAGAACTCTAAAATGGTAGTGAACATTTAGGTTTATGTTTACTAATCTTATGAAGATACTGATATCATATAATGGAGCAAATATGAAGATATTTAGGTTTCTTATTCCTAAACACTGGCAGGATACGTCCAACGCCTCAACATGGACATCGTTTGGGGTATTGCTCCTCCAAATATAAACGTAAGAAAAACCTATTGAATTTGTGGCACACAACTTTTTCCAAGACTCAGTCACCCTCTGCCTATTCTGTGCCATACGAAGCCAAGTAAACCCTTTTATCAAGGGCTTATACTGGGTAGTGCAATTTTCATGAATTATCATATATATATATAGGTAGGATCCAATTACACAATGTAAAACTAAAATTTACACTGATTTAGGACCATTGGATGTGTGTACATTGATGGCTGAGATTAATAGTTGAAAATAGGAGATTTTTACGAAAAAGGAAGTGGATAATCTCAGCCATCAATTTGCACTCATCCAATGGTTATTAATCAGTGTAAAAAAAATTTACACCATGTAAGTGGATCCTACCCCTATATATATGTGTGTGTGTTGTGTGTGCACAAAAAATGAAAACCGCTCTAAAACCATTATCTGTTCTTCGTATATATGTTTGTACTATTTATTGTTTATCATGCAAGTTTTGTATGTTATGTACTACTGATATATAATTTGCGTGCTTTTTTATGGTTTTATGTTACATTTATCCTAGTGTTCTTACATGCTGTGATGCGTCATGCAGGTTTCTTAATGCAATTAAGCAGTATCTCTGCTTATCATTGTTAAAAAACAGTGCTTTGTCAGTGATGTCAATTTTCCAGCTCTCGTGTTCTATTTTTATGAGCCTTCTAACAAAATATAGATCAGGGTTGAAAGCTGAAATTGGAATATTCTTTCCCATGTTAATCCTCCGAGTTCTTGAGAATGTTCTCCAGCCAAGTTTTGTGCAGAAAACGACTGTCCTTAATATGTTGGAAAAGATTGTTGAGGATTCACAGATTATCACTGATATATTTGTGAACTATGACTGCGATGTGGATTCACCAAACATATTTGAAAGGTATTTTTTTTCTCCCTAATAATTGTTTGTACAAGTGGTTGACATGAATGCTGGTTCTATGTCCTCAAGTTCGTTGTCAATTTTCACCGAACATATCTGACAGGTATTTTTTACTAATAATTGTTTGGACAGATTAGATATCAGTGCTGATTCCATGCGCTAATAATTGTTTGTACAAATTTTAGATGTTATTCCATGCCCTAAAGTTCGATTACCATGTCAAGTTTTATTTAGAAGTGTCCAACTAATCATATGTGAAATCCTGTATGAATTTGATACATGTTCTCAAGTTCCACAAAACTAAATTTGGTCAACATAAAAAGTAACTCAAGAATCTGTTATTGGTTAATATTCTCAGAGCATCCTTCTGCTTCACATCTCATTATTTTCATTTGGATTTCTCATTTTTTTTAATTTATTATATTGCACTTTAGTTAAATATATTAAAAGGTTAATAATCAAGCCAACTGTTATGTCGTATATGATTTGAAACCTTCTGCAAAATTGCAAAAAGCAGATCAATATAAGAATTAATTATTAGCCAAAAATACAGGAGTTAACTTGAGCACCATTCGTTTGTGATGATCTCAGAGCCTGCTTTAAATTCTTTACTAGTGTTTTTTTTTCAGTTACTCGTTATCTTTCATTTCTTAATGCGTTGCAATTTAGTAAAATGTATTAAAACTCTTATAATTCCATCAGATATTTGCAGGATTGTCAATGGCCTTCTTAAAACTGCTCTAGGGCCTCCACCTGGTTCAACCACAACTTTGTCTGCAATCCAGGATATTACTTTTCGGCATGAATCAGTAAAGTGCTTAGTTGGCATCATTATATCAATGGGAGCTTGGATGGATGGACATCTAAAGATAGGTGACTCCAACATACATAAGAGCTCTGAGAATGACACTTCAGCAGAGAGCTATTCAACCCCGACTGCCGAAGATGGAATTTTTCCTGACTGTGAGTTGCATCTAGAAATGAATTCTGAAGTATCAGATGCTGCTACACTTGAGCAACGCCGAGCTTATAAAATTGAACTCCAGGTTAGTTATTGTTCTGAGTGGGGACAGAGCTCTACTGGTTCTTCGAGTAGCACACTCATTTGGTTCCATATTGTCGCCGAGGCTTGCCTTAATAAGTCATGATAATATGTCATAATATTATTAACTTATATTATTTCATTTACTTTTATGTAATTTTATTGTATGCTAGTTTTCTCCTTTTCTTCACAAGCTTAGTTTTTAGTGATACTTCTACTGTGTTACATGCAGAAAGGTGTTTCATTGTTCAACAGGAAGCCATCCAAAGGCATTGAGTTTCTTATGAACTCTAAAAAAATTGACAACACTCCAGAAGAAGTGGCATCTTTTCTGAGGAAAAACACTACTGGACTGAATGAAGCCATGATTGGTGATTATTTGGGTGAAAGAGAAGAATTTGCTTTGAGAGTCATGCATGCTTATGTGGATTCCTTTAATTTCAAATCTATGGATTTTGGTGAAGCCATTAGGTTCTTCCTACGTGGCTTTAGGTTGCCAGGTGAAGCACAAAAAATTGATCGCATCATGGAAAAGTTTGCTGAGCGCTATTGTAAATGCAATCCAAACTCATTTACTAGTGCAGATACAGCCTATGTACTGGCATACTCTGTCATAATGCTCAACACTGATGCTCATAACGACATGGTCAAAGATAAGGTTTGTTTTTCCAACCTGTTTTTGTCTCTTCAGCACATCACTGGATTGTGAACTTTTACTTTATATGCTTGCTTAGACATGTTCATGTCTCTTCTGGTCTATTTTGGGGTTTGTAAGCCTTTTGGGTGCTTCAAATTTTTCCCGTCAACAATGTGGAATTTTCTTTGAACTATTGTGAAATGTTTTCATAGATAAACTCACAATAGATTTGATTCTGCTCACTTCTGTTATATGTTGCTTCTGCATTCAGATGACTAAGTCTGATTTCATCCGAAACAACCGAGGAATAAATGATGGCAAGGATTTACCTGAGGAGTATCTTGGTGCTCTTTATGACCAGATTGTGAAAAATGAAATTAAGATGAATGCTGATTCTGCTGTTCCTCAATGCAAGCAGGAAAATAGCTTAAACAAGTTATTGGGTTTGGATGGTATACTGAATCTGGTTAGTTGGAAGCAAACAGAAGATAAGCCATTGGGTGCAAATGGGCTTCTTATAAGACACATTCAAGAACAGTTTAAGGCAAAGGCGGGAAAATCGGAGTAAGTTTTTTAATCTAATTCTTATGTTTTGCTCCGTGGAAAATGATTGGTGTGGCAAGGAATAGAAGTGTGGCACTTGTTTAGGTTATATGTTTTTTTTTTTGATAGGAATAATAGGCCTCATTAAAAACCTCCTTCTTGGTTACCTCTTGACAGAAGTATCTATCGGAAGGAGGAAAAGAGTGCCTTAGTTTTATAAATAAAGAGAGTATTACATAACATTACAACAGAGACCTAACAATTAACCTATCCCTTCCTTAGCTAACTTATCTGCTTCCCAATTACAGCCCCTAGGAATCCATCGAATAATAACCGCCCTCCCCCGAACTAAGGCAACAATATCTAAGATCAGGGAACTGAAAAAATTAGGAACAGAAATAGGTGACAATATCCATTCTACTGCAGATTTGCAGTCACTTTCCATGATCAGTCTTCCTTTCTTAGCCCAAACTGATGAAACGAAAAGGTCTAGGCCTTTTTTAATAGCCTTCAGTTCAGCCAACGGTGGAGGTCCTGGACCAATACTAACAGAGAAAGACGATAAAATTATACCATTTATGAGCTGCTTTAGGTGAATTTTTTTAGGCGTATGAGTTAAGATTTTATGGTACATTTTGTTACATGCCCTATGTTGTGACATGTTGGGAAAGGAAGTCATTTAATCTTAGTTGATTCTAGCATAAAAGATTGTAAATGAACTTGCGTCATTAGAAAAAGAGAATTCAGTTCTTGCATGTTCTTCTATATATGTTCCCTCCTTATTGCTTCTATTTTAATAAGATCTTTGTTCTTTTATCATCCCAACATCTCCGGAGGTATATTTGTAAAAAATAACCATTTTAAATTTGTTTTTGCAGGTCTGTTTATCATTCTGTTTCAGATGTTTCAATCTTGAGATTTATGGTGGAGGTCTGCTGGGGACCTATGCTGGCTGCATTTAGTGTTACTCTTGATCAAAGTGATAATAGACTTGCTACTACACAATGCTTACACGGCTTTCGACACGCTGTGCATGTAACTGCAGTACTGGGCATGCAGACACAGAGAGATGCTTTTGTCACATCTGTGGCAAAGTTCACTTATCTCCATTGTGCTGCAGACATGAAACAAAAGAATGTTGATGCTGTAAAGGTTCGTGGTATTTGTATGCTCATGATAACCAGGAATTGTAATGTTCTCCCTTGGCATTCTCTCATAAGCTATATCACAGGAAGTGTTATAACTGCAGCATTGGTCAATTTGAATGTTTTTCTCTTACAGTCTCCCACCAGAGATACCATAAAGTTCACTTGTGTTGTGTCATGTGTGCATTATTCTTTTATGCCTTTTTCTTGACATTAGCTTGTTTCTGGAACATTGATAATCTACTACTTAGAAATCAAGTTCAAGGAGATTAGACTATGTTTAGTATTTGGTTGCTTTTGTGATCTTTGTTTTGACTTTATGGTTTATAATTTTAGTTGTTGTTAGCAAGCATAGGGAATCATAGGCATGATGCTTTTTACAATGAATACAATTATGAGTAAATTTATTGGCCATATGCCTGATAATTGTTTCATCATTTATAAACAATAAATTGAAGTGGGCAACCGTTGCGGTTAAGGGGTTAGTCATGGTATTGCTTGAAGAAGGCAACCTTATGAGGGTTGTGTTTTACGCACCTATGATACTGTGCATAGATAATATCCAGTTACCTTAAACTGTGATGGTTGGATGATAGAAATTCCTATTGTCTGTTGGTAAAATAGATTTAAAATTCAATGCATTAAATTTAGTAATGCCTGTTTCATTTGTATGATATAAGTTTCTTCTTTAAAATATTCTTTTTATATCTCACTACTTGAAACATTTTACTTTATACAGGCAATAATATCTATTGCCATTGAAGATGGTAACCATCTTCAGGAAGCTTGGGAGCATATATTGACCTGCCTGTCCAGAATTGAGCATTTGCAACTGTTGGGAGAAGGTGCTCCAACTGATGCATCCTTTTTAACCGAGTCAAACACTGAAACAGATGACAAGACGCCAAAATCTGCCGATCTTCAATATTTGAAGAACAAAGGAACCCTCCAGAATCCAACTGTAATGGCAGTTGTCCGAGGAGGTTCATATGATAGCACTACTGTTGGAATCAATAGTTCTGGACTGGTATCTCTGGAGCAAATTAATCACTTCATTGCTAACTTGAATTTATTGGACCAGATTGGAAATTTTGAGTTGAACCATGTTTTTGCACATAGCCAGAGGTTAAACAGCGAAGCAATAGTGGCATTTGTGAAAGCCCTTTGCAAAGTTTCTATATCAGAGTTGCAGTCTCCTACAGATCCTCGGGTTTTTAGCCTCACTAAGCTAGTTGAAATTGCGTAAGGTTCTTGCCTATTTTTAGAAAATTTCCTATAATGCTAGTTCTATCAGAATCTCAATTATTTACCTTCAGATAAATTTGCCCTAGCTCTCTCTGGCACATATGTCTCCCTCTGTTGTCTACCTATGAAGAAAACTTATTCTACAATGTCCTATTGCAGGCACTACAATATGAATCGCATCAGATTAGTTTGGAGTCGCATGTGGAATGTTCTTTCTGATTTCTTCGTTTCGGTCGGATTGTCTGAAAATTTATCTGTATCAAGTTTTGTGATGGATTCATTGCGGCAACTTGCTATGAAATTCTTAGAACGTGAGGAGCTTGCAAATTACAATTTCCAGAATGAATTTTTGAGACCTTTTGTGATTGTTATGCGGAAAAGCAACTCTGCAGAAATAAGGGAATTAATAGTTCGATGCATTTCTCAGATAGTCCTCAGTCGTGTCAGGAACGTGAAATCTGGATGGAAAAGTGTTTTTATGGTATGCTAGTGGCTCATGTAAGATTTCTATTATTATGCAGCGCCAATATTTTCTTTTTCACACAATTATGTTCTTTTCTTAGGTGTTCACAGCAGCTGCTGCGGATGAGTATAAGAATATTGTCTTGGTTGCTTTCGAGACAATGGAAAAAATAGTGCGAGAATACTTTCCTCATATAACTGAGACTGAGGCTGCTACATTTACTGATTGTGTAAGATGCCTCATCAAGTTCACAAATAGCAGATTTAACAGTGATGTTAGCCTTAATGCTATTGCATTTCTACGGTTCTGTGCTTTCAAACTTGCTGAGGGAGGACTTGTTTGCACTGATAAGAGGTTGGATGATGGTTCATTTGTTTCAATTGTTAAAGAGGATGATTTAGATGTGCAAAGTTTCACCGACATTGATGATCCTGGATCATATTGGGGTCCTCTGCTAACAGGTAAGCAGTTAATTTAGTTCCTTGCAAATCCTCTAACCTTGTTACATTGTTTTTTTTATAGGAAGTGGAGGCCTCGTTAAAACCCCCCTTCATGATTAACGGAACACCAATCGGTGTTCCTTAATCAGCGGAAGGAGGAAATGAGTGCCTCAAAATTCATTAATAAGATTACATAATGTTTAAAACAAACAACCCCCTTACAAAAACAACCCGAAACACACCAAACAACACATCTATCACTCAATTAAACAACATCCTAAACCAACCAACAATAACTACCCAATACCAGCCTTAGCTAGGCTATCAGCTTCTATATTAGCTGTTCTGTCAACCCATTTGATAGCACCCTCCAATACTCTTATCATGACAATATCTTTCACTAGATGAAGAAAAACACCAGGGAAGCTATCTAAATTCTTAACCCAATCCACAGCAAGTTTGCTATCGGATTCAACAATCCACCGATTCTTAAACGTCTGAAGAATAGGCTCAAAGATAAGTACACCCCTCTTGTTACATTGTTATGCAATATGGAATGCATTATAGGTTTTTTTTTTTAATTTTTTTTATGGTTGAATCCTTAGCAATCAAAACTAAGCCTTGATTATATGGTTCACATTGTTTTTTGATTGATGGATAACATACCCTTATAACTAGTAATTTTTTTTGATAGGAATAGGAGGTCTCATTAAAAACCTCCCTCTTAGAGGATCTTACCCATAAGGTAAGACCCAACTAGCGGAAGGAGGAAAAGAGTACCTCAATTTATTAATGAAAGCCAAGTTACATAAGACTTAAAAACACTTTTACAAACAACATAAGACTTCACACACTCCTCTAGCTTCTAAGCTCAGAAACAGACACCAACTGAAACAGACAAAAAAAAAAAAAAAAAAAAAAAAAAAAATCACCCGATCCCCTCTTTTGCTAGCTTGTCAGCCTCGCAATTACAAGACCTTGGAATCCACCTGACAATAAAATTTCTAAAAGAAACAATAGATACAATTTCCTTAACAAAATTCGAAAGGGAAATAGGAACCAAAGCTTGATCTTTGATCCAATCCACGACCAGCTTGCAATCACATTCAATAATGAGTCTGCCCTTCAACAACCATTCTGAAGAAACAAAGATATCAATGCCTCTTCTTACAGCTTTCAATTCTGCTAAATAGGGATAAGAAGGACCAACATTTTCTGAAAAAGAGATGAGTGTAACCCGATTCCAATCCCTGAGAAGACCCCCTATTCCAGCCACTCTCCCAACTCTACTACAAGCCCCATCCACATTGAATTTAAAAAAATCAACTGGAGGAGGAATCCACCCGCACCCTGATCTGTGAAGTTCCTTAGGGGCAGAGATACTATCTGCCAAGGAAGGATCACCAATTAAAGAATCCACCTTAATATAGGAAAGAGGATATTTTGCTAGAAACCATCTTGCTAGCCTTAAGCGAACAGTGAAAAACAGTGAAAGCTTGTCCAGTTTACCATTATCAAAGATAATTTCATTTCTGATTCTCCAAATTGACCATAGCACTACACCCGGAATAAACTTCCAAATAACCGAAGAAGGCCTCAAATCAGACCAAGAACTAAGTAAGGAAGGAGGGTCAAGTGGAAAAGCTAAACTAATACCCCAATAACAAATTAATTTATTCCACAGCTCCCACGAAACCTGACAGAACAAAAAAAGATGCTGGACAGATTCTTCACATAGATTGCAAAAAGGGCAGAGAGTATCCTCCCCTAAAGTAACCCCCCTTTTCATCAATTCCATTCTAACAGCAACTTTTTGATGAGATAGCTGCCAAAGGAAAGTCTCCACTCTAGGAGGGACTAATCCCAGCCAAACACAGTTTCTCCACTGAAATGTATCCTCATAAACAGAGTCTAGAGATTTCCTGCACTCTTTGACAGAAAACAGCCCGTCCCCCAAGCCATCCCACAGCAGGCAATCCTCCAAAGATTCAATCAGTTTAATGTCTTTAAGGCTGTTCAATAATTCAACCAACTGCAACACTTCCCAATCACAAAGATTCCTCCTTGTTTTAATATTCCACTCCCATCCATTCAAATCAAAACTACCAAAAGCAGCCACATTGCCACCTTTGTTAGTAGAAAGTGCAAAAATCCTAGGAAAAAGTATTTTTAATGGACAATCCCCAAGCCAAGTATCCTTCCAAAAAGAGACAGATTCTCCATTCCCTATTTGAATTTTTGCATGAGATCTAAGGCACCCTCCAATGAAGTCATTCTTTGAGAAGTTATTGACAATTCCCCTCCAAATCCACGAGTCTTTATGAGATAGGGCCTTAGTGATATCCAAGGAATGACAACTCACATTATGTTTACAACAAAAGAATTTCTTCCATATCGAGTCTTTCTCATTTGCAAACTTCCATACCCACTTCCCCAACAACGCTCGATTGGTAAGATTCAAATCAACAACTCCTAAACCTCCACCACTCAACGGCTTACAAATCTTTTTCCAACTAACCCAATGCATTCTCTTTTTCTCACCCCCTCCACCCCAAAGAAAATTCGACATCAAAGAATTTAACTGTTGAGAAATAGTAGATGGCATCTTGAAAATAGATAGGTAAAAAATGGGTAAAGATGAAAGTACCGACTTTATAAGCACCAATCTGCCAGCCATGGATAAAGATGAAGCTTTCCACCCCACCAATTTTCTACTAAAGTTCTCTATGACCGGCTCCCACAACTTCTCTGAATTCTTTTTTGCCCCCAAAGGGAGGCCTAAATAAACTGTCGGGAAAGAGAGAGAGAGAGACGAGAGATATCTATTTTTGTTGTTTAAATCATTGCACATTATCTATTTTCCATTGTTAATCCATTAAATTACTCCGAGTTCAGGTTAGGCTCTTATCCACATGTTAAATGCCAAAAACAATTTACTACCTGCTTTGACTAAACTGTTCTCTCTGAAAGGAAACATGATTGCCTATCAATCTTACTTTTTTACATTGCAGAAAGTAAGTGCCTTTGGTTTTGAAGTTTGAGAATTTTGTTATGTTTCAGGTTTATCAAAACTAACATCTGATTCGAGATTAGCTATCCGAAAGAGTTCGTTGGAAGTGCTTTTCAACATCCTGAATGATCATGGTCACCTTTTCTCACGAACATTCTGGCTTGGTGTTTTTAGTTCTGTTGTTCTCCCCATATTTGATGGTGTGTGTGAAAAGAGTGACAAGGCTATAAAAACTGAGCAGGATTCACCAACTGCTGAATCTCCTCATCGTGATGGAAGTAACTGGGACACTGAAACTTCTACCGTGGCATCTCAGTGTCTAGTAAATTTATTCATTAGTTTTTATGATGTATTAAGGCCTCGGCTACCAGATGTGGTATACATACTGACAGGATACTTGGGAAGTTCAATACAAGGTCGCGCAAGCATTGGAGTTGCAGCGATGTGTCGTTTGACGAGAGAGTTAGGAAGCAGACTTTCAGAAGAAGAGTGGAGAGAAATATTTCTTGCTTTTAAAGAAACAGCCACTTCAACTTTGCCTGGGTTTAAGAAGCTTTTGAGAACCATGGATGACATCAAGGTGCCTCACAATTCTCAATCCTATTCTAATACCGAAACAAGTTCTGATCATGGATTCACCAATGATGATGTTGAGGGTGATAATCTGCAAACCATGGCTTACGTGGTTTCGAGAATGAAGAGTCATATTTCCATCCAGCAACACATTTTACAGGTTCTCACACCGCACACTATTTCTTGAATGCTAATGGTGGTTCGTTATAATTCTATAGAAACTCATGACATAATCATAATTGTTTCTCATTGCATTATTTCAGGTTCTAACTGATATATACAAAACACACATGCAATTCTTGTCGGCTGCAAATACCATTATCGTTGTCGAGATATTTTCTTCCATTTCATCACATGCTCTGGAGCTGAACTCTGAGACAAGAATGCAGCAGAAAATACAGATAGCGTGCTCAATCTTGGAGCTCTCTGAACCTCTCATGCTTGGCTTTGAGAATGAGGCTTATCACAATTACCTCAACTTCCTCCAAGAGTTTGTTGAAAACAATCCGTCCATCTCCAAAGAGATGAATCTAGAATCACTACTTGTAGAAGTGTGTGAAAAAATATTGCAAATATACCTTAACTGTACCACTGATCACCAGAATATGCCGGTGACCCATTGGATTCTTCCATTAGGTTTTGCCAAGAAGGAAGAATTGGCAGCTAGAAGTCCATTACTTGTGTCAGCATTGAAGGCATTGAGTGGTTTGGGAAGGGATTCCTTTAGAAAATACATATCAAATATCTTTCATCTGTTGGTCGATCTTGTCCGGAGTGAGCACAGCTCGGGTGAAGTTCAACATGTTCTCCGCAACATATTCCAGTCATGTGTAGGTACAATAATCATGCAATAATTTTAATTTTTTGTTTTAGAATATATTACATTTAGATGCATTATGTCACAGTTTCGATCACATAGTTGGCTTGATGATTAGCCAAGATATAGCCTTTTATGAGTTCTTTTTCTTTTGTTTCATATAAAAATAGTGTACATGTTAATCGACATCTTGATGATATGAATTGAAATTTTCTTCACTTACTGATCTTGGATGCATATGATCCATATGCTGGTAGATCGAATCACTTAAATTGACTTGAGTTGGTACGATTATCCATCTTGTTTGGCCATAGTTTCAATTTTATTTTTAAAAAATCTATTTATCTCACATTTAACTGTAATTTTTGTTAAAAAACGAGCCGGATATCAGATCCTGGTTTTGGTTTGTTGGTGCAATTTGCATCATCTATTGTGGTTTTGGTTTGTTGGCAGCGATGGACCGAGGGGGACGGTTAGGGTAGATGTCATGAAAATTTTAAATTATTATATATTTTAATTTTTTTTATATATTTTGTATTGATAATATATTTTTGTTCTATGTAGATGCAATTGTTGAAACTTTAGATTTGTCAATTTTTAAGGGAGAATAATATTCCTGAGGTCACTCGTTCATAAAACATGATGTATATGAAATGAATATAGCCTTCACAAGATTGGTGGTAAGCCATATACATAATTATACTAAGATTTGTAACTCCTTAAGATATAGTCACCTTAATTTACCAACATTAATTGTGATTCAGAATTGACTGAGTACTTGTTAGAAGTGTACAAGGAAATTTCAAAATTCATGCACATTCATAATTTAGTAAGCTATTTTTTTTTATTCAAATGGTATTTTTTTAATCCCAAAATATTTTAGGAAATTAAACGTTCAAATTTGGAGACTATAAAATCAATGGGATAAATAGAAATGTCCAAATTACGGGTCGAACATGGAGTGGTGCATTAGAATAATGCAGTGCTGTTTTCTCTTTGTTCTTGATAATAATGGTTATACCGTGGTGAATTGAAATATGAACCCTTTCGGTTTGACTCCAAATCTAAAAAATAATAGGGTAAATTTTGTATTTGTTCATCCAACTATTTCTTCGATTTTATTTTAGTCACTCAACTATTTTTTTTAAATTATACCTAAAATCATATTTTGAGTTCGTTTTGGTCATCTGTTGTTAAGCAAACAGAACTACTGACATGTCAATTTTTTATTTTTCAATGCTGAAGTGTCATTATCTCATGGTGACACATCAGCATTACTATTAATTTTTTAACATGAGACTAAATATAACTTTATGTATGATTTTGACAAAAAATAGTTTAGTGGCCGAAATGGAAGTACGAGAATAATTGGGTGACTAAATACATAGTTTATCCAAACAACATTACAAATCTTGGAACATGCATTGCCTACGTCAATATATTGTTTCTTTTCCCCTTACAGCTCTTCCTATAAATACTGTTGCTCCTCTACTCAACTCTGACTCAAACTAAGAAATCTGGTTTTTCCACAACACCAACAGGACTCTCCTCTCTCACTCTCTTTTATACTCGCCGCCGGTTCCCGCCACGAACACCCACCCGTTATGGAGGTCCGCCGGCGATCATCGGCTAAACCGGTTCAATCTCTTAAGGCAACGAAAACCATTTCAGTAGAGGAAGATCCCACCAAAGCTTCCCACGCATTACCGCTTCCGTCGTATCTAACAAATGCTGTCTTCTTCACACTATTCTTCTACGTGGTTTATTTTCTTCTTTCCCGTTGGCTTTAAAAGATCCGCACTTCCAGGCCTCTCAGCGTCGTCACCTTTTCCGAGATCGTGGCCATCCTAGCTTTCGTAGCTTCCTTTATTTACCTTCTGTGTTTCTTCGGGATTGACTTTGTTCAGTCTCTGCTTCTTCAACCGTCGACCGACGTTTGGAACTCCGAGGACGATGATGAGGAAACTGAAGATTTGCTTCTTAAAGAAGATGCTCGTAAACTCCGTTGCGGTCAAACTCTTGATTGCTCACTTCCTTCTTTGCGTTCTCCGGCACCGATTGTAAATGTCCAGAAGGTGTTCGATGAAAAGCCTGTCACGGTTACAACCGAGGAGGACGAAGAAATAATTAACTCCATAATGGCCGGAACAACCCCTTCGTATTCTTTGGAATCGAAATTAGGTGACTGCAAGAGAGCGGCTGCGATCAGGCTTGAGGCATTGCAGAGATTGACGGGGAAGTCATTATCAGGATTGCCTTTGGATGGGTTTGATTACGACTCGATTCTAGGACAGTGTTGCGAGATGCCGATTGGGTACGTTCAGATTCCCGTGGGAATCGCCGGGCCTTTGCTGCTTAATGGAAGAGAGTACTCAGTTCCTATGGCAACCACGGAGGGGTGCTTGGTGGCTAGCACTAATAGGGGCTCTAAGGCTATTCATTCGTCTGGTGGAGCTACAAGTGTTCTACTCAAAGATGGGATGACTAGAGCTCCTGCCGTAAGGTTCGGTACAGAGAAAAGGGCAGCTGATCTGAAGTTGTATTTGGAGGATCCTGGGAATTTCGACACTTTGGCTCTTCTTTTAACAGGTTTGTGATTATAATAGACATATTTTTCCATTTCAGTTTGACACCAATCACTCTATAATTGGGGTATTTATACGGCGAGAAAAGATTGAAAGAGGATCCTCTTCACTTTCTTCTCTTTTTTCACCTTCATCTTCCTCTTATACTTCCATCTCTCACCACAAGAAATCACTGGTCAGCGATCGTTAACTCACCGATCGTGTCTCTATGTCCAAATCAAACTGTGCCCATCAACAAATGTAATATTTGGACTGGTTTACTGAAAATTGTTGGTTTTCTGTGTGGTTGCTGATCAAGTAGATTTGGCAGACTTCAAGGTATCAAATGTCCAATTGCTGGGAAGAATCTATATCTGAGATTCACTTGCAGTACTGGTGATGCTATGGGGATGAACATGGTTTCCAAGGGAGTCCAGAACGTTTTGGATTTCCTTCAAACTGATTTCCCTGACATGGATGTCATTGGCATCTCTGGTGAGCTTCGTTTGCTTAGATTTACAATTGTATTGTTCTTTTTTTCCTGGAACTAGATCACTGAATTTTATGGATTTATGATGGGTATAGGAAACTTCTGCTCGGACTAAAAGCCAGCTGCAGTAAATTGGATTGAAGGACGAGGCAAATCTGTTGTCTGCGAGGCCATCATTAAGGGTGATGTGGTGAAGAAGGTCTTGAAGACTAGTGTTGAATCTCTTGTGGAGCATAACATGCTTAAGAACCTTACTGGTTCGGCCATGGCTGGAGCTTTGGGTGGATTTAATACCCATGCCAGTAACATTGTGACTGCACTCTACATAGCTACTGGCCAAGATCCTGCCCAAAACGTTGAGAGCTCTCATTGCATCACAATGATGGAAGCTGTTAATGACGGCAAGGACCTTCACGCGTCCGTCACAATGCCTTCTATTGAGGTAATTGATCGTGTTGCCTGTCTTATTATCGAACACAAGGATTTTCATCGGAAATGTCACCTGATTATTATCTCCGTTGGCGTCTTATCTTTTAGGTTGGAACTGTTGGTGGTGGAACTCAGCTTGCATCTCAGTCAGCCTGTTTGAACCTGCTAGGGGTGAAGGGTGCGAGCAAAGAGTCACCTGGAGCAAACTCTAGAACGCTGGCAACCATTGTTGCTGGTGCCGTCCTTGCCGGGGAGCTGTCGCTCATGTCGGCACTTGCGGCCGGGCAACTAGTCAAGAGCCATATGAAGTACAATAGGTCCAGCAAGGGTGTTTCCAAGGCTGCTTCTTGAGGATCACGTGATATCATTGCAGATGGTCTGCTTTGTGAAGTTTGATTTTGGACACTTGTACGCGTGAAGTTTGATTTCATTCAATTTTTACAAATTATTATATTGTAATGGACGTATCATCATTTTATCACAAATAATTATATCCATCTAATATGAAAATAAATAAATAAATAGATTTATTTTTTTAAAATGCGTGTAATTCAATCAACAATTATACTAATATCAAAATTTTATATGTATAATTGTACAACATCAAACATTCTATCAAAGTTCATATGTAGTTTTGATACTTAACTCTTTTTATTTATCAATAAAAGTATGTAATTCTTTTAAGGGGAAAAAACATTTAAATGCTCAAAAGCTCTTGTTATTGTACTCGAAAATCAAATAAACCTATGATTTTTTCCTAACAAAAAATTAAGTTTTCATTAAATAAAAAAGTTAATGTACAACATAAATAATACAATTTCAACATTGAAACTCAAAAGGTGGGAAAGAAAAATAAAACCAAAACATTTCCTTAGATACGTGTTTCATCTTCCAAAATATTTAACTATCAATAATTTTCTTGTCTCTATTTGATCCTGGACTAAAATTGATATAAACATGGAGTTTGAAAGAATGAATATGACAAATTGCTTATGATGTTTTTAAAATCATACTTAATATTATGTTTTGGTTTCATTTTGGTCACCCACCGTTAAAAAAGTAATAGAACTGTTGACATGATGTTTTTAATTTTTTCAATGGTGACATGACATTACTTATGACGACACATCAACATCACCGTTAATTTTTCAACGGTGGTGACCAAAATAAAACTAAAACGTAACACTAAATATGATTTTGAAATGAAAAATAATTTAATGACTAAAATAGAATAAAAATAATAATTAGAGTACTAAAAATGTAGCTTACCTAAGAATCAGATACCTACCTTGTTTTGTACAATCAAAACGCTTTAACAAAGAATTTTCAATATCTACTGGTAGTAGTGTAGAAGCGTTTAGTGAGAGAATTTGCTCTCCCTTCTCTCTAGGATTCTTTTACAAGATGGGTCAATGGTCGGTCTCAAAGGTTTCTTCCATGGTTTCTCATGGATCACTGGTTGTCGAGTTCCTTGTTTGGAGCTCAAAACGGTTAGGTTTTCTCAAAATCCGGTTGTTTATTTTTCAAGTTCCTAGATCGTTAGGATTTTATTGTTATTATAAAATTATGAGTCATTCTCGGTGTTCTTCTTCAGCGAATGAAGTTGAAGGTAAAAGCTATCTTTGTTATCATTATGGTTTATTACTCGTGATTTATGTTTTGCAGGATCTTCTTAAGGGATGTTGGCAATGGAATGATAAAGAGAGAGGGAATGTTACTTTAGAGATCTTTCAATATTGGTTT